CCCGTACTCAATCACAACATGTTTGCCGCGGCTGGAACCTGGAGGGAATGTGACTGACCATGAAGTTAACAATTACTAGAAACTCGGGTGTTGATTTTGCCTTATTTCTTATTTTATATATTTTTTTTTTCTAAAATCTTTTTCATTAATTTTTTTTTTATATTCAATTTTTGTTTTACCCCACCCCCACCCCCATGGCACTGCGAGTCTCTAGTGATAGTCAACCCACCATTTTCAATTTGGCTTCAGCATATATCATATATGCTGTAAAATGAGCTACATATATATACTAGTACCTGCAAGTCTGTTGCTCTTGGTTTTTATATACGATTTTATATGTATGTTGGTATCATCATGGAACTATAAACCCTATAGTTCCATGGTATCATACATCTATTCATCTATTCCATAATGAATTGCTATATACATCTTTTGTTTGTATTATGTTACAGGGGTAATTACATACTGGACTATCTCATACTTGTGATACCATTAATGTTAGGTTTTACCATCTTGGACATGTACCATCAAGTGATTCTTATAACTCTTCTCTGTATCGTTATTGGACTCTTTGTAACCGCAGACTATGCCTACAACAAACCACCCGCAGCATACAGGACATTCTCAGAAGTATTACAGTTGAATATTGCCAGCAAGAAACCTTTCATTTCCAATTACAGAGCTTATGCAAATATTGCTACAGCTATTGCAATTCTGGGTGTAGACTTCATAATATTTCCTCGAAGGTTTGCGAAGACTGAGACGTATGGTTCTGGACTGATGGACGTTGGTGTGAGTGGCTTTATTATTGCCAATGCTATTGTGTCACCAGAAGCCAGGGGGAAATACAAAGAAGCAAGGTACATGTCACTTTTATGTGTTGTTGAGAGGGTTTCTCCCTCAAAACCAATAGCCAATCCTAAGAACCTCTGTAATAAATTTATATAAATGATTTGGATGATGAATGATAATGAATTGAAATCTTGTCTGCATGTGTAAATTAATTATTATTTATTATAGTGGATTTGATGTTGCACTCCGTCACATGCTAAGATCTGTAAAATCTACATCACCACTTCTAGTACTTGGACTAGCCCGACTTCTGTCGGTGAAAGCAACTGATTACCATGAACATATAACAGAGTATGGAGTGCACTGGAATTTCTTTTTCACCTTAGCAGCTGTAAGGGTAAGAACTCAGCTACCAGAACTAGTACCGGTAATACATGTCCTTCAAAAAACATCTAAATATCTGCACCAGACCTGTCACATTTCCATCCCTGTTTACATTTTTCTTTTTTTTTATCTGAAGCAAACATACTACAGGGGTAAGTAGAGCATAGGGATTTCATTGTAAAACAATAGTATCCATAGGCAAACTTTTCTCAGTAGATTTAATATTGCAAATCCCCCGGTGGCGAGCTATTTTTGGTGTTCACACATGTGCCAATAGACTTTGTTGATGTTTTACATAAAAAAAAGAAAAATATTGCACCACCATACAATTTTGTTGAGAAACTTTGGACCAGAAACCATGTTCTAAATAGACAATCTTACACTAGATAAGATTCATCATCTGTATTTGCAAACACACATTTTTGTTTCCTTAATTGATACACTCAAATTTGAACAAAATGTGACCACCACCAACCCCCAACTTCCTCTCCTCAAATACATTAGGGGATTTAACAAGCAACAAACAAATTTGCAGAGCAAGTTATTTTTTTAATCTTTCCTGACTGTTTAATCTTCTCATCTTTCCAGGTATTATCAACACTTTGTCTAACATTCATCAGTGTCAAAATCAGCTGGGTGATCTCATTGGTTGTTGCCATTGGTTACCAGTATCTTTTGACCAATCATGGCTTAGAACACTTCATTCTTCATGGTAGTGATGGCAAGGATACAAGAGAAGGCTTTCTCAATGCCAACAGAGAGGGCATCATCTCCTCACTGGGATATGTTGCTCTTTATTTTGCTGGAGTACAGCTTGGTCGGTTCTTTTTTCAACCAAGGTGATTTTCATTCATTGTTGTTTAGATATCAATTAAGCACCTGGAACTACACTGACATCTATATTTATTAAATAGTGTAAAACAAAAGAATAAAAAACTATTAATAATGATCTCTCTTATATATTTTGAAATTAGAATTATTAAACAGGCTTCTAAAACCCCCTAAATGCTTAAAAATCTATTTAAGACTTGCAGTCCCGCACGCCACCTACATGTTACTTTTTGGTTCAAAAAATGTCCTTTAGATGAAGAACTACTATTAATTTGGGTTCAGCTGTTCAAAGTTATTACTCACACATGCATTCACCAATTTCTTTTGAACAAACACAGTAAATATGGTCAACCAGCAGCCATTCTGGATGTAAAAATATCCTAAATCCTAGTCTTAACATGTCCTCTACCTGTTCAAACTTAGTAGGATGGCTATACATATTGGGCTGCTTGTGCACATTATTTTAGTGGGATGCTTTTCAGAATGACCAGCTGTTTATTTTTTCTCTCTACCTTTTTGCTGTGAATCAAATTTAAGTTACTGTGTCAAACTATTTATATGAATTCATGAATGTCAAAGTCACTGCAAGGGTCAATAGCAATGATTTGTAGTTAGTGGTAACATTATGTTCAAATAAAGATGTCAACAGTTCATGATTAGGAAAAACATGAAATATGCAAACAAAAAACAGAAAGACTTAAATTTGTAACTTTTCAATAAAGAAGAAACATTGATTCCATATTAATAAAATTAGAAAAATTAAAAAAACATTGTACTGTTTTAGCAATAATCTGGTGGTACATTAAATAAAAACATTGTGCTTCATTAGCTCCACAGATACATTTAAAAAAAAAACTGTTTTAATTACAGGTTCAATGTTTTGGATTGGTGCAAGGCTTTCCTTATTTTATGTGTTGTAAACATTGTTCTGTGGATATTACTCCCCATCAGTACAGAATATACACATCCTATTTCAAGAAGAGTTTGTAATCTATCGTTTATTGTTTGGTCGGTAAGTGTCACACCTATGGCCATACTTTTCACTAAAATTGGTCATTATTTTCAAACACTTAAGGAGGCTTATGGTAATTATATGTAAATTGTTTGTATTGACACATGTTTGGGTTTTCAACCAATATTTGTTCATTATTTTCAAGTTGTTTTTTTGATTAATAGAAAACAACAATCAATTTAAATTGTATAATTATATGTCTGTCTGTAAGATGGAGTGTGTTATAAGTTAGTGGTATTGCCTTGGGTTTTATATCATATTTTCTCTGTTAGTAGTGCTTGCCTTATGTCAATTACAGAGGTTTTTCAGTCACAATAGGGAATATTTTAATGATTCAGTACGCAATAAATATGATTTTTTGTTTAATAGAGAAAATACAGTTTTGAAAAAATATGAATAAGTAAGGAAAAATTACACAAAGAAAAAAAATGGTTGTTATCCTTCTTTTCCATGCCTAAGATTTAAGTATGTTTGAAAATAAGCTTCTTCTATAATATAAAAGACAAAATCTCAGAAAGCCTAACCTTTTTTTTTTTCGAGGGGCATTTAGCTGATTTTGATTCTGTCAATATTATGAAAACATCAGAGAAAACACACTGCTGAATATTTTAGTGTATGATACATTAGTCCAAAACACATGACCCAAACACATATAACAGTGGTGGCTCACATACCTGACCTGAAAATACCTGATGTGTACCATTATACACAATGTGAAAGCTGAGTTTAACACTATTAATATTTTTTTATGAGAGCGGGGGGAGGAGCTTCTGTGAAAGTGCCTCTTACATACACTATTGTGTATACTTTTCAATTTTGTTTTGCTTCACAGTTACTGTACTGTATACACTTGCTTACGGGTTTCCTCTTAGTTGATCTTATTACCTTATTTGCGTCAGAGATGGGATTTATACGAAATTCAACTCCGAGGACTAAGGACCATAAAGGTATAATTAATTAATTATAATGACAATAATGACACAAACAATATTATTGATACCCCACCACATCCAGATTTTTTGATGTGATTGGTTACATAATTATACCTGTTACACAGAAAATTAAAAAAACTGTCAACAGTTGGAAATGAAATCACCAAAGGTGTCCTGTGAATTAAAGCACACACCCAATTCTTGATCTGCCCATATCAAATTTTGTGTTCAGCAAGGTTTCTCAAACATGTCATGCTGCAAAGCAAACAATCTCAGTATATGAACTGCACCATCATTTCTCTAAATGTAACAGAATATCTGTGTGTGTCGACCACAATACTTCAAACAACATTTTTTTTATATATATTTAGATGATCCAAACACAGCCACAGTTCTACAAGACAGCAAGTATTGTCTGATTGCATCCATTAATAGAAATCAGCTTCTGTACTTCCTTCTCGGCAACGTAATGACTGGGATCATAAACGGTATCATGAAGACCATTCTGGCGCCACCTCATGTTGCATTTGTTGTACTTTCTAGTTACATGTTTATACTGAGTTTTGTTCATGTCATTTTGCATGCATTGAATATTACTACTAAGGTCTGGTAGTTGAGTAATTTAAGGCTGGTATATTGAAAGAATTTATTTTTATATCCTTGTACAAGTTTGCTCAAGTTAAAATGTTTTTTTTTTACATAATAGAATCTCTGTATTCATAAAAAAATAGATTGACTTGACATGAAACTCTTATAGCGTGATGGGAAGAGCTTTATTTGTAACTTAGCAGTTTTACATTTATGGACTGAGCAAATCAGTTCAAAATGCTGTATAAATTACCCCCCCCCCCCCCAAGAAAGAACATCTCAGGACCAGAACATTTTTTTAAAAGCCTGCAACAGGTTATAGCAATCTTCTTATGAATGATTCTCGCATGAGATTTAGCGCCATCTAGTGTTCAGTGTTTGATTTGTTGACTTCTAGAAATTTAACAATTACTTGTCGCATCAATTATAAAAATTATGGTTACATTTCTACTATAAGAAGAATGTAAAAAAAAAAAAACTTGAAATTGTTTTCTGGGATTATAACACAGAACAGTTGTCCAGACTAACACCAATCACTTTAGTACTTTGAACGCTTCAACCTATCAACTTGCTATTTTGAATACAGAATATTGACCAAAGTATCTTCTGAGAAAATAAAAAGAATATGTCTATCAGTGGGTACATATAAATGCATATTCAGCCTTCAAACTTGGACCAGATAAAGCCACTCTGCAGTTTTAATTTTTTACTTGTTTTTGTTGTTGTTATGGCTACCTTAATGACCCCAATCCAATGTATTTGCTGCTAGTATGAGTAGATTGATTGGTGCCCTGTAATAGAAGGAAGGCACACTGCTTGCAGCGCTTTGGCCATTGAATGTGTATTTTACCACAGCTTTCTTAAATCTGTGCACAAGGGTTAAATGCAAGCCATAATTGGTGAGCAAAATTGTTACAAATCAGCAGAATTGTAACTCACCAAATCAGACAATTACAATTTGCATCCAACACTTAATATGTTTAAACATTCCTTTTTTTCAATATTGCCATGCAGTATTTGTTCTGTTCGTACCACACGTGGTTACATAAATTACAAAGGTGTTGATGTTGTCAAAATTGGTAATAGTTTAATGATTTGGTATACATCAAATGTGATTTAGGGTTTATGTGATAAAATAAATACATTATATGTAATTCCATACAGCGTTTTGAAGAACAAGCTAAATAATACATGGCATTGACTTTTTTTTTTATCTGGGACTATTGAAAAGGTCAGGCTCTTATTTTTTCCATGCCGAAATTTTACCCACCATTTACGACAAGGATTCCTCATCTTTTCCTCTATTCTTCCTGACCATTTATAAACCCACAATACTGGTAAGTAGTAGTAAATTGACTTCCCTTTGTTGTAATATGACTTTATGTCCACTTGTATAGAAAAGCTATACGTGATACCTCCCAAATTACTTTTTCTCCTGAAAATTTCCTAAAAAGAATACATTTTTATCTTGTCAGGAAAAAAAAATCTTTGAACTCAAAATTCAAACAACTTAAAAAAAATAATGAGGTCTTAATTTGGACAAAATTTTCTGGATTTTTTTTAGGGCAAAGGTGGAACTAATTCCCTGAGCAGAAAAGTAAATTAACAGAAATATTTTTCCGGGCACATGAAACTTTTCAAAAAATAAGTGCGGGGTGCAGACCTCCCAAAAGATGTAGGGAATGGGCAAAACTATCAAATATGGAGGGAGTTGAGCAATTCCCTGGTCGGAGTGAAACAGCTCTCAATTTCACCTCTTTTATATAAATTGGCCAGTCCGTACTATAAAATGTATTTTGTCATGAAGATTTTTAAAGGTACATGACCCCATCCCCGCGCAATCACGACAAAATTCGGTTTCTTTGAGCCGCCATCAAACGAAGTCATTTACATTCCTATTTATAGAGGGCGATGTATGTGTCGATGTCCTTTTGCCAAAGACTTCTTCGTTCTGATCTCTGCATTTATACACAGTCACTCTACTACTTCAAAACCATTTGCTCAAATCGTTACAGAAAGTAAGTATGTAAGTATGCTACCTATATTTCTTATAAGTTACTTGGCCCCATTATATCCAACGATTTCACCGATGAAACATGGTTAAAAGTGATCAAGTCTGAAACATCAATTTGTTGTGATCGTGTCCTGATTCATTTTTAGAAAAATGTGTTGATAGCTTTACTAATGACAACATGTATGGGTTTGAATATTTTCTGTGTTGTTACCTAATGTTTGATGTGAGTCTCTCACCAGTAACCACCTAAAAATTGAATGTGGTTGCCATTACAATGTGGCTAAAGAAAAGATCAGTAAACTCTATGATGGCAAGTATGTTGGAAATGAACAGCATTTGTCTTTCAGAAGCTGAAAAAATGATTGATAAATTGTATTCGATTAAATATAAATTTGAATTTCTTATTCAGAGGATTGTTATGTGTCAATAAAATTATTATAAAACTAAAGAATGTGTAAAACTTGCACTCCAATCATGGTGTAATACTACCTCCTGTCTGGGATAAAATCACTGTCAAAACTTACAATCCAATATCCGATCCTGAAACTATACTGATTTTCAACATAATGTGTGTTTAAACAATGCTAGCTTTGCATTAGCCTAATTGTAATGTTCTTAACAAATCATTATGAAACATTTTATGTAAGGGAAAGGGCTGGTTTGTTTATTTATTTAACCAAAACGATGATCTAACACCTGGTTGCTAGGTGCTATTGAGCATGCCTGCATAATTAATTATAAGACAAAACTAGGTCAAATATCACAGCAATACAGCAGTAGAACACTACACTGATGTTACATTGTCACTGTACACTACATGAGTGCTACTATGCTATCAAAGAAGGGTCATATCAAAACCAACGACTACCTAATATTGCCTACTTTATATCATTTGTTTTATTTCAGTTAAAACACTGGCAGGAAAAGATATTTGAAAATAGATATATCTGTGCTGTATCTTGTAAGATTGTATACCAAGTGCTATGGAAAAATCAAGAAACTATAGTCATTGTGCATATCATCATTATGGAAACACTTTGTGAGAAAAGTCGTTACCATTTGCGTCCCCTAAAACAGCATATGCGAATACATGACACTGAGAAGTTTCGTCCTTGTGAGTTATGTGAGAAGAAGTTTGCCTATTTACATCATCCTAAGCAGCATATGCAAATGTATAATCCCTCTCATTGTTGTGAGTTTTGTGGGAAGAGTTTTAGTCATTTAAGTACTCTCGTGCTACATAGACGAACACACACCAATGAGAAACCTTATCATTGTGAACAATGTGCGAACAGATTTTCTCAGTCATCAAGTCTTAAAAGGCATATGCTAACACATACCAATGAGAGGCCTCATCATTGTCAGCAGTGTGAAAAGAGTTTTGCGCAGTTAGCTACTCTTAAACGGCATTTAGAAACGCATACATATACCCAAGAGAAGCCATATCATTGTGAGCAGTGTGAGAAGAGTTTTTCCCATACAAGTAATCTCAAACTGCACATGCGAAAACATAACAATGATAAGCCTTTTCACTGTCAGTATTGCGAGAAAAGATTTACACAGTTATGTAATCTCAAACGGCATATCGAGTCACATACTAATGAGAAGCCATATTGCAATTTATGTGAGAGAAGTTTTACTTCCGCCAATAACTATGAACAGCATATGCGAACACATCCCAACGATAGACCTTATTATCCTAAGACATTAGAATACTTTAAGAGATTTGTTATGCATAGCAATTCAAAAAAAAACATTAAAATGGATCTAATTAGAAAAAAACACCAACTCAAGAACTTCACATACATACATTCAAATCATCAAAATGTTATTGAAACATCAAATTCAGTAACTCAGTTTGGCTGTGATCAATGTGAGAGTATATATAGTCAATTATCTAGTCAAAAACACTCATTAATTATTCACAAAGGGGAGGAATGTACATATACCTGGGAAACAATAAATGATAAAAAGCTATTAACTGTCACACTTAACACGTATGGAGACAATTCATGTAAGAAAGATCAAAACCAAATGTTTATTGCACATGCTGGATTTATTGTTGAGAAGCAAAGATATGATGAATTGACAGAATTCAGATTATACAGTCACAGAATTGATAAGAAATTTCAGTTCTTTTAATTAACCAGTTATAGCATATAGAGAAACATATGAATCACTGTGTGTATTTTATTTTTGCATTGTAATGTTATGAAATTTAATGGAAAATGTTGACCTAATATTATGCTTAAATCCTTTTTTTTAAAAACACCTTCAGAATGTGATGATGAACTGGTATAAATAAAAATTAAATGCTTTAATGTACTTATTTTATCTTGCCCAATTATAATTAGATAACGAAAAATGTATATATTCTAGTGGTTGCAATTATAGTTTTTGACTCTCATGTGCAAAGCTCACAATGGGAGTCTTTGCAGTTAGTGTAGTGTGTGTGTGTGTGTTCGTCTGTTCCACTGCTATCTCAAGAACCATAGATTGGTTTTTGATGAAACTTGGTGCATAGATGGTCTGGGCCAATGCACAGATTTGATTACGTTTTGGTAAAAATGCATGCATATTAATTACCTAATTTGCATGATAATTAGCTGATTATTAGCTGTTCCATATTTTCTAGGTATCGTAATGTATATGGCAACCAATGGCTTGGCACCTTTATATATAAGTGTAATGTTCAGTTCTATCTCCCAAACCCACAAGTATAGTACACGTTCCTCTCTTAAAAATAATTTACGCATTACTAAATGGAAAACATCCATGGGTCAGAGGACGTTTCAGTATAGAGGGGTAACCCTATGGAATAACTTGCCATTCCATATCAGAAATTCAGCCTCTTTAGGCCATTTTTAAGAAAACTTACAAAATTTATCTTAGTGAAAAATTTGTTGTAAATGGCTCAAGCCTATAATGTGTATATTGTGTTTATTGTATATTGGCCTACCCTCTTTAAATAAAGTGTTAAATAAAAAATTAAATTAAATTAAATTAGTTTGGGATTAAAATCTGTCCATATTTATTCCCTAATTAGCATAATAATTCATAATTTTTTGGTTCTAATTACATTTCAATAAAACTTGGTACATAGATGGTACTGAAAACGGCAAATTCAATTGCTTTGATATTACATATATAGATACTACATGTGGACCTCTCTCAGATTTGTTCATTTTGTGATATCTTCAATTCTCTAATTTTGATGAATATTTTTGTAATTTTTGGTAGAAAGTGATATTTTCGACTTCTTGTTGAAAACCGCAAGTCCAATTGCTTTGATATTTCATATATAGGTGCTACATGTGGACCTCTCTCAGATTTGTTCATTTTGTGATGATATCTTCAATTCTCTAATTTTGATGAATATTTTTGGTAAAAAGTGATAGCTTCGTCAGGTAGACCTCTCTCAGATTTGTTCATTTTTTAATGATATCTGCAGCGGAGCTATCCCAGAGGCTGCTTGTTTTTTTATATAAAAACAGAAAAATCATTTCATTTCACTAAAAGTGTGAAAATCAACACACACTCATGTAATTAGAGTAACAATTACTTTACAATGTCTTGAAAATGCTAAGGTAAATTCGTACACACTTGTGTGAGGCTGTATTCATACTGCCAGAACACTTTCTAGTTGACTTGTCATCCTGCTTGACCTATGAGTAGTTGTCAGTCTTTCAATAAACATATCCCATTTCAGTTTTCACTGACATGCAGACTTCAATAATTATATATACATGCGTGTCCCTCGTCCAGCCAAGTGCAACCCCCACCCCAATCTGATTAAAATCCAATGTAGGTATGAGGCTCCAATTTTTATTTTTTTTTAATATTTTTTTTTTTTTTTATATATAACCCTTTATATTATATTTATTTGTATTTTAGTTTGAATATGTCGATTTTTTTGGAGCCTCATACCTACATCGGATTTTAATCAGATTGCCCCCACCCCAACAGGAATGACCTTTCCCGAGTTTAACCAAACAGGCTGCTGCAAATATGTCAATGACATTCATATGATTCAAACTGTTTAGAGTTCGTGTACACAGTGGGGTCAAAAATTAATACAGCTACATTAATGTATGTTGAATTGAATTACAACGCCATCCCTTAAAAAATCGTTAATTGACACATTTTGCACAAAACAAAAATAAATTAAACATATCCTAAAATTTAGCACAAATATGATGCCATGACATGTCATTATTCCCATCCACATAATCAGCTTAGTGTTAACTGACATTAATATTTCTTTGAGAGTTTCTTTCTTTGGTGGATTTTATGGTGAAGTTAAGGGGTTGACAGGGTCACTCCCCTAAAGTAATATACAATTGAAATGAGGGAGGGGATCCCAAAAATTACAAGTTAGACACAGAGAGTAAAAAAACAAGCATGCAAAGGTGATACAGGTAGAAACTGATAGTGTGAAGGGGCAAAAAATATTGGGGGGGGGGGGTTCAGTCATCGTCTTTGTTGCTGTTAATTAGTCCTTGTTTCAGGCGCAGCCTGAAAAAGGAAGTGTAGTTTCTTTCCGATTTCCATCTGCGACTTCTCTTTCATTTTCTCAGAAATTCTGCAGCAGATATCAATGAAACTTTGCAGGTTGATGAACAAGTCTCTGCTGAATATGCACATACTTTTTTTTCCAGATCTGAAAATCCTAAGTGTTTTTTTTTTCATGATTTTTATCCAAAATTACCTCTTCCCAATACCACTGAGAGAACAACTGAGCATACTCAGAATAAATAATTAGCTTAGATTGTAATGCTAAGGATCTGAATCAGTGACAGATGGTCGTACCATTACGAAACTGGAAACGTGGAAACTGTAGAGGGGTGTCAGGGCTACATTTTGATGGGAATTATAGTGGTGATAATGAAACAAACCCACGTCCTGGTAATATACAAAAACCTGAATTAACAAAGAAGTCAAGTTGTTATTAAAGGTACATCAAGATTTACTCAGATTTATGAATGCAGTTTCTTGAGCATGTATACATGTATGAGACATAGTTTGGTTGTACTTGTGTACTCTGAGATTTTGGACATGGGTCAATGAAAGTTTACTGTTATCAGTACATTATAAATTAAGGGAAATCACTTTATGATGACCCTTACCAAATAAGAATACATTTGAAATGTATTTAAAATGTGTTTTTTTTCACTCTTTTCAATGCACTGTAAATATGTTATAAATGTGTTTAAAATGTATTAGAAACGCCTTTTACACAAGAAAAAAACGCCTTTTAAACTGCCAAGTTTTCGACACTTGAGATGATGAGGTGGATGCATTTTAAATGCATTCAAAATGCGTTTTAAACACGTTTGGAAATAAATGCATTTTAAATGCGTTTTAAATGCATTTATTATATCGAGCCATATCAGAATGGAAATAAACGCATTTATTTATAAAATTATTAAAATGCATTTTACTTGATATTTATGTCTCAGGAACAATTAGTATAAATGCATTTTGAACTGGTTCATCTTCATTCACCAGATTGTGTGTGTAAATGTACTTGGGAAATAATGAACTGATACCAAAAAAATACCAATAACAATCCGTTTTATTACAAATGATACATGTGTAAATGTGTAAAATTCTTACAAAAATAAATATTAAAAATGTTTTTTTTTTACAACCTTGCACATTGGGAATCCGGAGTAATGTACATGGCAAAATTAAGTATAAACGCTCAGAAATAATGTATATAAACAATTTGCAAGTAATATACTCTCTAAAATTTAACAAGCATGCATAATTATTACTACTTAATATAGAATAAACAGACCAAAAAGTTTATTACTGGTACTAAACTGATATCAAATATTCATTTTTTGGTGTCTTGATACCGTAAACCTGATATCATAGTGCCCAATGCA